TACGGCTTATTTTTTTGGTGTTACATTTCCATTTTTGGAGTTAGAGAAGGATCTACAAGGCCAATAAAAAGTTGTGGTACTAGGTCTTGCACTATAATATCTTATAAAATCTTTAATAAAATTCTCTCGCAACTATATATTTGTTACACAAAAATAGAGTTATATAAACATATATATACACAAGAGCTATACATTGACCGTTATAGAGTAGAGTTTTTATATACATAGTAAAAAATTGGGATTCAATTCTCAGTTCGTTATAAAGTGTAAACCGTTATAGAAAAGGCCGTTATAGAGAGAGTGTACAGTATTATCAAATTTGCGTTTAAACTTCATTTTTTCACATATTCAAACAAAAATTGACTGAATAAGAAATTTCGTTCCCTGTAAATCCTTTAATGACTTTCGGTCTTCTTCGGTTAGAAAGACTATTGTCTCTTTCCTCACGAATCAAAGCCGGAGGGAATAAAGTTAAAGTTTTCCTTTAAAACTGATTATTCGCCGTATTCGTTGGCTTCAACTCTTTTTTGTTCGTTCGCGCATATTCTTTAATTTTTTTATATATATTCGTTTCGTATCATGCGTGTAATAAATATATGACAACAAATTCTTTTCGAAAATATATTTGTTAAACGCGATGATCATCACTTATTATTATAATAAGATGGTTAGGACTCCATCAACTGGTCCTAGTATTATTATACAAAATCACGTGACTATACTCTTAATTTATAACATATTTTATTTTTAAATCTAAATTAAGTAATTGACAGATAATATAAATATATAAGGAAAAAAATAATAATTAAAAGTCTTCTGCAAAATATTGCTCTTCACTAAAATATGATGTAAGAACTGTACGTTCAGCAAACTTTCTTCCTGCAAGTGCTCGAAGTGCTATACCAGCTGCCTCTGCAGAATCAAACCTTACAAAAATCTTTAATAAATGCAACTATTATTAGAATTTATTAAAATAAATAACATCAATATGTATAATATCAATATACCTTGCCAACACCAGTAGTTGATTGGCCTGGCCTAGGAATTTTCATATCAATGATAGAACCAAACTTAGAACATTCTTCTCTAACATCCTCAACTATATCTATTTTAAATTATTATAATCATAGTTTTGTTTGATTATTAAGAATAAATGAAAAGCAGATATTTAATGAAATATAATAGTAATAGTAATAAAACAACCTTCATATTCTTCATCATCTACTAATTCCTCAGGAGTAACCATATTAAGAAGTTGAAGAACAGTAGTTGGCTGCATTTCTCCATTTCCAGCTGGAATAAGAACTGAAGATGGTAGAACCATTGCAACACCCAAGTTCTTAGCTGATCCAATACTAGCTCTCTGAACTACTAATTTACGATCACTAAGCTCCATATTATTTAAACCTTGACAAGCTAAATCTGTCACACTTGGATCAACATATTCACAAAATGCAAATCCCTAAATAAATTCCCAAAAATATAAGTAAAATTAAATAAATCAATACACATATAACATATTTATTTTATTGTTTTTCAAACCTTAGAGACACATGATAAAGTATCTTTAACTAAATTGAAAGCTCTCAATTCTCCAAAAGATTTTAAAAGTTCCATAACTTGTTCATCATTTAAATAGGTTGGTAGACCACCAATAAAGATTTTATTCGGGCTATCTGGTACATTTGTAGATACAACTCCTGGCACATGTATTGGTGGTGGCTCTAGATTTTGCCCAGGTGGAGGTTGATAATCTTTTGGCCGACGAATCTTTAATGATTGACCTTGAAATGTAATTCCATCAAATGCCATTGCAGCTGTAGCTTCTTCAGGTGCATGAAACTATCAAAAAGAATTTATATAACAATAATGAATAAAATAATTTAATATCAATAATCATAGTTATTAATATTTATTTATTTAAAATGGGAATAATGGCTTACTTCAACAAATGCATAGTTTTTATCATGATTGATTTGAACAGCTGTAACTGGATTGCTAGATGCAGTAGTAATATTCAATTGAAGCATTGTAGTGTTGAAAAATTCTGATAAGCCATTCTATTGTATCAATGATAGTAATATTAACAATAACTCCAGAAGTTTAAAAGAATTTATTAAAAAAAAAATTACCTCATCAATACCATATGGAATATTACCAACATAAAGTCGTCTAGCCTGTCTTGCTAATGATGCAGTCTGTGCAACTGGACCTGCTGCTCCTTGACTAACTTTAGACTGTGGTGGAAGCTCATGTGTCATACCCAATATCATTGCTGCCCTTGATGGATCCATTCCAGATATTATTGGAGAATTTGGGACTGCTGATGGTCTTGTAGTGGCAGGTTGTCCAGGAAGTGGAAAAAATCCTGATTCATTTATATTTAAGAATTAAGAAATCCTTTTTTTTTTTAAAAAAATAATAACAATAATAAAAATTCAGACCTGTGGCTTTAACCTGCTCTGCTGTCATTCCTTCATATCCTGGTGGTGCCACATCCCAATTGTTTAACTTCCTTCTTCTTCTATTAATAGGAGTTACTGATCGAGATCTAGATCGATGTTTTGGGCTATAACTATGACTTCTCCTTGAATGGTGTCGCCTACGATCTCTATCATCTCTATCATCTCTATCTCTTCTACTTCTTTCTTGGCTACGTTCTCTCTCTCTTTCTCTCCGCCTGTGACTTCTATCACGGTCACGATCCCTATCCCTATCCCTGTTCCTGTCCCTGTCCCTATCCCTATCCCTGTCCCTGTCTTTCTCTCGATATCTGTCTCTATCAAAATCTCTTTCTCTATCATGATCTCTATCAATTTCTTTATCTTTATTTCTGTCCTTTTCTCTATCCTTTTTCCTTTCACGAAAGTCCCAATCATCATTTTCTTTGGATCGATGTTGTTCACTTCTTTCATGAGTACGATCACGATGATGAAAAATTTGGTCTTCATTTGTATGAAAAACTGTTAAACAACAGTGACATTGATCATGAAAATAACATATTTGTATATATAAAAGAAAGATTAAATTAAATTATTTGAATTTATTAGTATGACCTAAAAAAAAAAAAAGATTGAGAGGTCCTAATTGATGTATTATCCCGACAAGTTTTCATGCAAACATATTCAATAGGTTCGATGCTAAGCTGCGCTGCTTAAATAAAAACAGAAAAATGGAAATAAAAATATATATTTTGTGTTTTATATACAAGAAATTTTTTTGGGAACCAATACAAAATTTTCTTTTTGTTGAAAATATTAAGGAAAATAGAACCTACTTATTACTATATGTGATCAATGACTAAATATAAGAAGAATAAAAAAAAATGTATATATAAAGAAAGCAATAACATCATGGAATTAGTGACTATTTTCTCCAGATGAAATAAATAAATAGTTAAAAAAAATTTTTTTTTCTAGAAAGAATTTTCATTGATAGTTGCTAGACTACTGAATTAATATAGTACTTGATAAGAAATCATAATGTAAAACCTCCCACCTCTCAAATAAAACAAAAGAAAAGATTGTTTGCATGTGAAATTATGAATATATAAAAATATTAATTTCAAAAATACAATAAGGCTAAACCTTAATTATTTTTTTTGTTTAAAAAGAAAAAAGTTCATACCCATTTGATCAGCATTTTCTTCAGTTTTCGTATATAAATCAGTAGGAAGAGTGAGAGTAGATAAAAAATTATTTGCTAAATCTGAAGCACGGTTTATTGGTTCAACTAAAAATGAGTATAAAAGGTAGATTTGTTAACAATAAATATATATGAGACAGTTCTATATATATTAATTTAACCTTTAATGCTTGATTCATTATTAATGTCATTATTAATGTTGGGGTAAGAAAATTCGTTATTCTGGCTCCAATAATCACCTTGATATTGAGAGCTATTTTGTGACGGATTAACATCCATTAAGAATAAATTTTTTGCTCTCAAATTGATAAAAAAATATTTTATTTACAAGTTTTTATCATGTGACCTGCATCAATTCTTACCTTTGACGGAAATTAAATATTTTATGCTATTATCTATGTCACGTGACCGTCATTGAAAATAATGGAATTATGCGCTGAATTCAATTAATATTAATATCAATGTGTGTCGTAGCACTTCGGATTCCGTGTATAAATTAGTATTAGTATTGAAATTTTCAAATTTCGTCGTGTAACTAGTATAAATTTAGAAACTATCTTCTGGAATTCAAAATTTGATTGGAATGTAACATTACATCCATTCCCCATACTGAGTTTTCAACAGGACTGGTAACCTTTTTTCATAGCGAATCAGCGTAACCTGTGGACATTTTTCTTTGCGAATTATAGTGTAACCGGTAACCTTTTTTTCTTCCTTATTAATGCGAATATAAGGTGGGCGGTAAATTTTAAAGTACTTTTCGAATCATAGTGTTGGCGGTGACGTTCAATAGTCTTCCCGGTTCTTTTTTAATACTGCAACCGACACCATATGCGGACGATTTCCAGGTAGGTCTGACCTTTATCCCTGTGTTCAGAGGGATACAGCTTTTAGTCTGGCGAGGGACAAATATAAATGCACGGATATATCTCTGATCACCTAGTCCGTAGATCTTGAGTGAATTATTCGACCGATACCCAAAGATCGATAAGATCGATAAGGGGGGAATATCCCTCTTATATGTTTTCCCAGGCTGAGACTCTATCCCTACGAACTAAGGGATAAAGGTGTAACCTTTCGGAAATTGTCCGCATGGGTTGAGCTTTGAAATGTAATGCATATTTTGAATAACTATAGCTTTACATAGAGGGCTTTTTTCAATATTAGGAAGGATTCATTAGAAAGCTTTAATGGCATAGTTTTATTTTGTATTGATAATAGTATTTGAATTTGTGATATCTGATTGATATAAAAAATTGGTATGTATAATTACTATGAAGGTTATCCTATTTCCATTTTACATTTATTTGTTGCATAATTAAATGTCATTGATAACAATAACGTCAAGATTCCGTAGCAATTCCAGGTAACAAATATAAAAATCATGCTTCTTATTAAATTAAATATTAACTCTATATTATTATAATAAATATAATCTATAACTTTAATGTTGAAATTTCTTCATCATTAAAATCAACCCTAAAAAATAAATAAATTATAAATTAATGTGTGTAATTTTTTTTATATCAAATCTAATTATTAATAATAAATTTACCTTAAACCAACAATCCTTTTAACCTCCATGACAGTTAACCTCCAAGTTATAAAATCTGATGATGATTTTGATGAACCACCCCAATATTCATGAATTTCATCAATCTTTTTTTTTAAAAAAATTAGGAATGAGAAAATGCACAAAAAAAGTTTTTTTCTAATAATGACTTAATTAGATTTTGCTTACAGTTTCCAGATTTAATAAAATTGATATTTGATTTAGTCTAGTGAATCTGTCTCTGAATGGCCATTGCATTTTTGACAAAAAATAATTTGTAACTGATCTTAAATCTTTATCAAATCTTAAAGCCCCAAACTAGTAAAGAAATTAACCAAACAACAAATCAATAATTTAATTATTGATCCATACTGAGTCTTTCAATTGATTATGGGTTGATATAATTAATCATTTACCTGATTAAATCTAGTCCCAAACACAGTTTTTTCCCACATGTTTGTCAAAGATTCAATGATATGAATCATGATTTGATTGTAATTATTTTCTGTAAATGTTGTCTAAAAAACATTTTTGATTAAATTTATTTTTTTTGAATTTATCAAAAAAGAGTAATGATAATCAAACCTGATAAACTTTTATCAAATTATCAAATCCAATAACAAATCTTTTAGCAAAGCCATCATTTGCTTCTTGTTCATGATATTCATCTTCATTCAATACATATTTGATGTCTTTATATGCTTCTTGTAATATTGGACGTAGTTTTTGTTTAATCATTTGAGTAAAAAGTTGTTCTAATCCACTCTAAATTTATATTTAAATTTATATTTATTGCTAATTTATTAAAACAATCTTTATTTTTACTTTAATAAAAACAATGAGAATTATTATTATTACTTGTAAGATTTGTGTGAATTTATTAAGTGTTGATTCACTCAACCAATTAAAACTTTTTTGAATTTTTTCATAATCTTCTTCAACAATTGATGGTAATGAAGTTAATTCAGATGTTAATCTTTGCATATAATCACAACTAACATCTAAATTATTTAATAAAATCTTTTTTTTTGGAATAATTAATTAAATATTTAATTAAATTATAATGATGATGATGATAATTAATTAATTACAAACCATGTATCCCATTTTTGCATCCTTTGATTCAGTTGCAGCAAATGAAGTAAAAAGCCTTCTTTGAATTAAAGTAATATAATCATTTTCTAAACTTTGTATAATTTGATTAACAATTGTTGTTAAACAGTCAACATCAGATGTTGAAATTGCTCTGTTTAAACATTCTTTTAATATATAGAAAACATCTCCAACACAACTTGATGTTTTATTTACTTCTTCGTAATTATCAATAGACATTGCCTAATTTCAAAAAATTTAAATAATTAGTTACTTGAGTTAACATTTCATTCAAATACATGTGCATGCAATAAAATTATTACTTTTTCAATTGCTTTTCTAAAAAAATATTCTTCCATTATAACAAAATCATTCATTAATGATTTCAATTGTTTAGCCAGACTGCTGGATTTTATTATATCTGTAGAAACAATGTTATTGACAATTTGATACTTATTTTGTAATAATGAAACATCTACTCCGATATTTTTCATTGCTTCAATTTCTAGCTAATAAAAAAAAAAGTAAAATTTAATTTCAAATTAAATAATAAAACAATAACAATAACAAAACAATAATTTATTTTAAATACCTGTGCTCTAGATTCCATAAACCTAAGATATAAACATGACCTTGCACTAATCATTGCTAATTCTGATAATATTAAATCTAATTCTCTTGGGTCAGGATTAGTTTCATTGTTTTTTGATGATTTGCCTGAATGTTGTGAATTAGTAATAGATTTTTTAGATGCACTACTATTATAAGTTCGAACATCTACTACCTAAAAAAAATTATCAATATAAGAAAAAAAATATTGAACTAATTTTAATATTTGTTTTCATTATTACCATTATTTATTTATTGATTGATACCTTTCTTTCGAGATTTCTTTCATCACTAAAACTGTTTATAATAATTATACTTTGTTTGTCACATTCTTCTTGAAGTCTTTCAATAACTCTTATCATTTTACCAGATCCATAATGATTTTCTACAACAGGTTGATGATGATCAATAATCATTGCAATATTTTCAAATAATTTATTTAGAGCATGCCCATAGAAGTTTGGTCCTGTGACTAATAACAATAAGATTATTATTTAATCATAATAACAACAATAATTATTGTTGTTGTTATCACTATGATCATAATCATCATAATCATCATCATCAATATTACCTCTTTCTGCAAGATTAGCTCGACTTTTATCAGCAATGATTCCACAAACAAATTTTGAATATTTATCCAAACCTTCAGTTTCTTTACCAATTAAAGGAAATAATCTAAAGAACCTACTAATACTTTTTTCATCCTTTGATTGTATGGCTAAATCAAATTCTCTTGAAAAGATAGTAAATAAAGCCTCTCTAATATCTGTTAAAGTTTTAGTTGGTATTTCTGGATATTCTGATGACGGCGCAGCCATTTCTGCAAATTTCCCATTTAATATTTTTTTGTCTATTGAAAAAGCCTTATTGACATAAGATGCTGCTGTTTCATAATCTTTTCTATACATTGATTGATGCATTCCTGTTATACAATGTTTTAATTCTTGTACGATCTCAACTTCATTTATTGCTTCTTGTACCCTTGATTGCTCTAAATCTAATTGTCGAACTTGTGCACTTATTCTTTCTGCTACATTGGATGTTTCTTTTATTATGTTTATCAAATTAGTAGCTTGAGAATTAAGTAATCCTAATTGCGGTCTTTTGAATAAATTTTGCTATAGTTATATGTGTGTGTGTATATATATCAAAATCAATCACTATGAAAACAAATTAACTTTTGTCACCTTAAAACTTCTAAATTATCTAATTCCGATTCTAATTGCAACCTTTTTTCCAATAATTCATCTAAATTTAAATCAACTTGATTTTCTTCAGAATCCAATATTCTTAAGCATTCTTGGATATCTTCAATATTTGTTAATGTTTTTAAATATGAAAGTGAAAGTTTAGAAGAGTCTGTTGCTGTTTCTGCTATTGTAGTTTTTGATGATGTTGATTCTTTTAATTGCGGAATAAACAGCGTTGTCATTATTTATTTATTTCAGAAATTCATCAAACAGGTTACACGATTTTTAATGAAAAAATTACCTTAATTTAGGAAATTGAGTGCGGGATTGTGTTACATTAAAGGTGGCCAATAATCTATTGGCAAGATTTGTGTGTAACAAATTGGTTTCCATGTTAGCAAAAAGGACCTCGGGAAAAAAGGGGGTTTTGAGAATCAGCTGATTTTGATTTTCTCCCCATTTTTCTGTCAAAACAATCCCTGATTTTTACTCCAAAAATAAATTACTAACCCCTTTTTTGTCCCACATAAAAAAAATTTTTTTTATTTACAGTGTGTGTCACAATAATACATCCACTTTTATATAGAGGGGTCAAATTTCATTTGTAGATCTGAAGATCACGTGTGGCAAAAATAAAAAAATTTTTAAAATTTTATTTTTGTCAAGATTGAATCTGGTATTTTTCTGTGAGACTTATATCTTTTCACAGCATACCCAGCCTGTTTCATATCCAACCCTTTTCTATAACAATCCATATAACAAGCTGATTTCCTTTCAAATTTGTGAATTGAATATAAGGAAACAGAGTCCAAAGCCAAAGGAACAGTTTTCAACAAACCTGCCCAGGTATAGTTACAATTTTCTCTTGCAAACCTCTTGGCTGCACCCCAATATATCTCTATGTAATTTAATTCACAGTGATATTTTGGATAAAATATCACCTTGTGACCATGAGCTTCAATGATTTCTTGAATCAAAGGTACTTGAGCCATAAAATCTGGTTGTGCTCCTAATCTATGTCTTGCACAACAATTTGGATAACTTGTGTTTGCTTCAATATTCTTATTATTGCAAGTTAATCTCAACCCTTCTTTTGGCCATAATCCACACTCTTCTAAAATTAATTTTATTCCTTTGGGTTTTCCATCAGGAAAATTCATTGTTTGAATTTTTCCATCAAAGATTGTATCTCACATTTTAGGTTTTTTTTCATTTCCGCCTGAATTTAAATTCATATTGTTTACATTTAAAGCATTGTCTGCAACTTTTTCATGACTTGAAGAATTATCAAAAGCAAAAACTGCAACTGCATCTGGGTGAGTGGCCTCAAATATTGGAATTGCACAATTAATTATCTATAATAAAAATGGTTTTAATTTTCTATTTCTATTTAATAAAATTAAATAGAAAAGATTACTTACTTGATCAATTAATTTTTCAACATTCCACCATCCATCAAAAATTTTTCCTGGATTCATCATCACTCTTGCTTCATGAGGAATTGACTCTCCAAATTCATCAATTTGCTGCTGATTTAGTTTTAATCTTCCAATAGTGTTAGTAATAAATTCACTTATATGGATTGATCTGCCTTGTCCTTTTTTTTTTAGTGGTGGTTCTCCTTCATTTAATTCTGGATTGATTGGACATCAAGATTATCACCTGAAAATATTGGCATTAATTTTTGAAATCTATTAAAAATCAAGTATTAATTAACTATGTTTTTTTAGTGATAATCATTATAATAAATTCACAACTCACAACTCCATTTCCTCCAAAAATTTATTTCTATATTCAACCACATCACTTCTTTCATGTCTATCAAAATAAAGACCTTTTTTATATTTATCATATATATAACCCATCTTCTTTAACCATCTGTTTGCTGTTGATAAACTTTTAAAAAAAATTTTGTTAATTAGGAATAATTTGTGAAAAATAATTGTTTTGTTTTCTCACCTGATTTTCATTTCATTTTCAACCCCTATACTAGGAAATACATCTTTAGCACAATGCCTCAAGTGGTATAGTTGTAAATATTTCTTGTATATATTCTTTTTATTTTATTATCCTAGGCTAGTGCCAGCAGTACTTAACATTAGTACTATAGAGAGAGAATTGTGCAAAGGAGCAAATACTGCAAATATTTGCAAAGAATGGTAAAAAAAATTTACATATAACTTGTGATAATTGCTCTGGACAAAATAAAAATAACTTATCTCTTTGGTTTTGGACACATAAAAAAATTATATAGAAATAGTAAAGTTAATCAAATTAAAGGCATTGAAAATATTATTAATAATTCTTTAGAAGGAAATGAATCAATACAATATAAAAATGGCTTGGGGTGGAAATAGTACAATTTTGGAGAATTATTTGAAAAAAAATTTAAAACTTTACCTAATATAAAGCAATATCACCATTTTAGATTTAATAATCTGCCTGAAAACAAAGGAAAAAAGTATTTGTTTCAACAAAATCTGGTGGTGAGGAAAAATGGTTTAATCTTTTAAAAGATAATAACTTTAGTCATAATGAACCCATTAATATTATTCCAATTAATATAGATTTGGAAAGAAAATTATATTTATACAAAAATTAGGAATTTTGTAGAGGAACTTCATAAGGATGTTCATTTTTCAATCCTGATTCTAACGAATTAAAAATTGTAAGATTATCATTTCCTTTTTTGTCTTTATAAAAATTTGGGGATCAAAATTGTAAACAAATTGTACACTTTTCTATTAATTGAATGTTGACAAAAATTATGCCGAATTATAATCATCACTTCAAAGAATATAACAGTGTCAATAACCCATTTTGGGGTTCTGTCCTTTTTGCTAGCATGGAACCCAAATGTCCCATTATGTAATATAATAATAATAATAATAGTAATGTAAATTATGAACAAAATGCATATAATCATGCAACATCATTGGATGCATGATCATTTATTTTTATTATTAATGTTATTACAGTATAAAAATCCAACCTTTTTTGTGTCATAAAATTTGTAAGTTTATGTTGATTATTCTTATTGTGTTTATATATATGGCTTGAGGTGACATTTTTTTGTTAGGTGTTACAAATATTTGAATATTCAAAAGTATTACAAATATATAAAATTATTTTCAAATATACTAATTAATGTGAATATTAATAAGAACATTAATTTATTTTTTTAATAACAATAATTGATTGATTAGTTTGATAAAGTTTTACATATATGTCAATTATGTGATGATATATGACATACACATTTAGTTAAAGGTATTATAAAAGAACAAAAAAAAGTATCCCCAATCAAATGTTTCATTTGCGTTGAACATATGAATATAAGTGAAGATGAAAATGAAGGTGGTTGCAATGATTGATTATCAAGTTTTGGTATGAAGATTAATTTGTAGTGATATGACTGTTTAAAAAAAAAACCATTAATTGTTATATAGAGATAGATAGATAGTGAGCGTAATTAATAAAATAATTGTTGCATGGTCACTGACCTCAGGATAAGTTGGTTGAATATTTTTGGCTACAGTAAGAATATGAGTAATTTTATGATCGGAAAGCCATGCTTTATCGTTTGCAGCCATTTTGCTCTAAGACAAATAATTATAGATGCTGGTTGCAATTCTTGGTGATGGTTGCAACCATATTTGTGACATATAAAAATGGTTTGCAACACCTGGTTGCAACCACCTTTGCAACCACTCTGGTTTCCTTTTTTGGATTGCGACATGGAACACTACAAATAATGAACATAGTCAAAGTGATCAGTCAAAAGAACATATTTCCAATAATTCTTTAGATTATATTAAATCAGTTTCCAACTGGCATACAATTGGATTGAATTAGTTGAAGATGAGGAAATAGACCTTTAGGATAGTGTAAATATATTAGAAAACACAATGCTTGTAGATTAATACTTGGAATTTGTTGATACCTCTAACATTACATATCCTGCTGATGATGTTGAAGCAAAGTGGAAATTACAAGATCTATTTAAAGATTCTCTTGGGAAACCTGCATATTTAACTTTGTTAATAAATGAATAAAAGAGAAAATTTGGTTTTAAATGTATTATGAAATAAAATTAAAAGATTATTTTGTTTTAGTTATTTGATAAAATCCATTATAAATTAAGTTTAATATGTTATGACATTATGGGCTAATTGGACTTATAATGTCCAATTAGTTTTCTTTTAGCCCTTTTGTCCTTATGGTCAATTAGCTTGTGTCCAAAAGGTCAATTAGCCTGGGCCAATTGACTGACAACACTGGTCAGAGTCTACAAGTCAATATGTCTGACACATTGGAATCAAGATGTTAATGCTGCCCATAACATAAGGAACACTTTTTTGCACACAAACACTTATGGAGAGAGACCTGATCAATTTATAAGGGGACTTACTGACCTCTCTGCTGCCATTTTAACATTGATGACTTTATATGAAGCCACAATTAGCTATAGGGAGGATTTGGATCTTCCTGATTTAGTGTAATAAGGTTTACTTGTTATCTGTCCATAAAGAACTTCTGCTAATTGTAAAATAATCTAAACCTAATTGATTATTACCATACAAAAAAAATAATAATAAAATCATATGGTGCAAGTCACTTAGTCGCTGAACTTTTTATTGGCTGTGTAGATCCTATATCCTCTCCAAAAATGGAAATGTA